CCCCTTCACGGATCCCTTCCAGTCCCGTCACTAAAATCGTAAATGGCAGACAGTAATCGAACTATTCTATCTGGATAAATGCATTTTGGTTATTATGACTCCTTCTATTTCGAGAAATCAAGCGTGACGTGACACACACTGGCATTTATATGGGTTAGATATTAAACAACCAGAAATTTTTCCCGTCCCCCTACCCTCTCGGTGGCTCAGCAATAAGTCTGAAAGCTTATAACGCTAAAAGTCGAGTTTCGATACCCGCGATGCTTAACAACAAACTAACAAAATATTCATATATATATATATATTACACAAACTCAAAATGCCAATATTTCATTATCAGGGATTCTGAAAATGAGACTGTTTCCCGTCTCTAAAATACCAAATAACTGACTGTACAGGACAAAACCCGATAAGACTGAAAATAATCTGATATATTCAAGAGTGTTTCTAGTCTAATTGTGTTTTTTCTTTTATCCTGTCCCCCAGTGGCATAGCGTTATGTCTGTGGACTTCCAACGCTAGAATCCGGGTTTCGATACCCGTGGTGGTTAGAGCACAGATAGCCTATTGTGTAGCTTTGTGCTTAATTACAAACAAGCTTTTATCCTGTACAGTAAGTTAGTTGGTATTTTATTGTATATTTGAGAGTGGGAACAGTCTCGTTTCTAGAATTGTGTAAAATATCTGGTTGTTTACTAAAAAGGTTTTTAACATTGAGCATTTACACAAGCGTCATTGAATTTTTATATTACCTGGGATAGTTGAAAAGGATTATTAATATGTTGAGTCTGAGAATCCGGCTGACGTTTTCTGTAAGCCAGGAAATCATCTGCTTCTGGGAGTGATTTTTTATGTTTGACACCGCGTACATAATCCGCGTGGAGTCTAGAAGGGCTGAGAAAAACAGGCTCTGGATCCATTATGTGCTCTGTGGGTTCAAACCCAACGCCACTCTTTTGGAATATTGGATTAAGTTTTTCACTACACTGTCCTTCTTGCGGCTCCAAGTCTTCAGCAAACGTTATGTGTCGTCGATGACCATAGTGACCAATATGATGATTACACGTGCACTGGGAAATTGGAAAACTCCATTGATTTTCACTTTTGATAGTTCCTCTTGAATCATTGGCATATCTATGTATTTCTGGTTCTACTCCTTGCTTGGAATTCCAAGAATCCATGTAAGGATATCGATACTGGAACGTGCCAGAAGAAGGATAGCTGTCATGAACTATATCTCTATCAATATCTCGAATGAACCCAACTGATGAGCCTCCAGAATTATACCCTTGGTTCTTACAACTTGACCTTACTGAGTTAACTCGCGTGTTCATATTTGACAAATGTTTACAGTTCCCGACTCCACAACCATTACAGGAAATGTTTTTGGTCTTGTGCTCTGCATGGAGGTCCTGATTACGTTGTTTTTGGCAATATGTGCATCCCCCTGAAACTCTAGGTCGTTGTCGACTTTTCCCTTCTTGAAGGCTGTTATAATATTCCTCACACTGCTTGGACACTCGACCTTTCTTGTTAAATCCACACTGACCACACAGACTAACGGCTGTGTCGTTTAGTTGTATTCTTTTTGTTGGTGCTTCCCTTTCCGGATTTTGAAACGTCCCTTGATTTGTATTCCAGTCATACATACCAGAGTTAGCAGTATTTTGGTGTATCATTTCTCTTTTCTTTGTCCCTTTGTCTTCTGAAGCAAATTTTCGAAATAAGTGTTTTTGGTCTTGTGGTGATTGTCTACAAACGGGACATTCTGAAACACAATCGCTAGAACTGCTATTATTGGAAACTGGTTTTAGGATGGAAACAGTTTTTTCTGAGGTTCGACTGCCTCTGTTATCTTCTCGTTTTAAAGGCGACAGATCCTTCGCTAGGACCAACCTATTAGATGTTGTAATATTTTGTATTTGTTTAAGACGATCTATTTCATCTTGATCGCAAGCATGCGACGACGTTCTTGTTGAAAATGGAAACTTGGGTCCTTTCACAGATGAATTATGAGGTAGTTCAGAATTACAAGAGGTAAATTCCGGCTGGGAATCTGAGTTTATAATATTGTTCTTCTGTGTTTTAAGTCCTGACGTTTCTTTAGTCCGACTGGTCGACTTCTCAAAGGTAACGTCATTCAGAATTTGTTGACTTCCATTTAAATCTTTGTTTTTAGCTGTAAACGCGGCTTCGGATTTAAGACTTTCATCGAAATCTGACACATTTTCAGTATCTTCTTTACTATCTTCATTAGTCTTCATTTGTTCTTCCATAGACTCACTTTCATGGGTTTTGTTGAATGAGTCTGGTGGCTCCTTTGATTTGTTACTGCTTGATGAATTCGCTTGTTGCTCTGTTACTCTGCCTACACAAGGCTTAAAGAAACTCAAGTTTCTTTCGTGGTCTTTAGCAACTCTTTTTGAAACCGGAAGATGACTATGATTGAGACAAATAACGGGTTCAACTAAAGATATATCATTTTTATCAGGTAAATGAAGCGAATAACATATAGCATCTGTTTCCTCATTTTCTAAGCTTGATGCACAAGAATTCCCTATTTGAATACCACTGTCTTCAGTTTCCGATGACACAGGACCACGGGACACAAAACTGTTTCTTGCCTTTTTTGTTCTGAAATCTTCGTAAGCCTTTTTAATTTGGCCACCATATAAAAATGGCGTTATTTATTAGCAAGTTTAGCATTGGTTGTTAAACATCGGTTCAAAGGTGGTTTGAGAGAGACGTCAAATCCATCTACATCAGAAGCCTTCTTTTCCATAGACGGTAGATAAATTTCAGAAGATAATAGAGAAGGGGGAGCGTAATGTCCCCAAATGTCCTCGTTATTCCATACGATATCGTGGGAGGGTAAGAGCCACAAGTAGAGCACCGTGGTTTATATACATCTTTCAAATCAAAGTTTGCTTGACAGTTTTCGCAATCCCTCTCAGACGAACACTCCTCTAAATCACTATTCTCAGAGTTTTGATAAATGGGATTCACTCGATTAACGGAATAAATATTTTTGTCCCACGAAGACCCTGACGATAAGTCTGTACAGTAAAATGGATCATCAGAAACGACGTAAGGCGAACTCTGACGATGTGTCTTCCAGTGATTCATCAGGTGCTTTAACATTGCGGATTTAAAGTTGAATTCCTGTAAGTAGAAAATTTAAATGCGTAAGTAATTAAGTTATGTACCGGTTCCGAGACACTTAAGCGTCTCTATTTTTTGAAACAGTTAACGGTCTCAGAATAAAGATTTTAAATTGTGTATTCTAAAACGTGGTTCGTGTCGGTATTTTTTGTCAAGTTTTTACACGAGAAACTTGAATTTTAACCACTTGAAAAGTATAACTTAATTCAAGTTATTTTCTTTATATTTACATTCTCATCAAGTATGCAAACACAGAAATACTAAGTAAGTGAGAAGAGTTAAGGATTCGAACAAAACACCTCAAAAAAAGACACCAGTACACACTGAAGTGTCTCTCTTTATTTCTTAGTACAGCTTTTGTCGTTCGTTTTAAAGAACCTCTCGAACACAATGCGTTCTCAACTCTCGGAAGTAAAAATAACAAAAACCTTTAACCGGGCGTTCTGCAGGTTCAGTGCTCGATTTAAAAGCTGTAAAGACACGACGAAAGTGTTACCTGTAAACATACAGTTTGTGAATTCTCTTGATAAAAAAAATGTTACACAGACAGCAAGAGTTAGTACAAGAATAAAAATATAACTTATTTAAGTTGAAATTCTTTACGTTACAAAAGAATGAAATCGGTATCATTGAGCTAATGTAAAATACATTATGTGGAAATGCACCTGGTTTAAGCTGAAACAGGAAACATTTTTATTTTGAATGGGGCTGTTAACAAAACATGTATCTAATTTAAATCAGGAAGTTAAAAATATTTTAAAACCCTAAAGCTTGTGACAGGTAAGTCTGTCTCCATCCATCAGGATTATCAGACTGTCTTTAACCTTGATGAACACAGGCAGACTTGCAATAGATGTCGCTGCTGTTGCTGTTTTCTTAATGCAACGTTACACAATGGGCTATCTGACCTCTGTTCATCGGGGAGAATCGAGCTCCAGATTTTTGAGTCGTAAGTCAATAAACTTATCGCTGACCCACAGGGGGACCACTTGGAGCTATGAACGTTAAAATAGAAATTTTAAATATATTCTTATGTCAAACATTAGACAATTACTATCGTATATAGTAATTAAGATCACACCCTAATCACATGCCTCAGTCATTTAAGTTTGATTATTTTTGTAAATATTTTGCAGTTATTGATAAATGTTCTAAAGTCTAGAAAGTTTTTCTTTTTCTTCAGTGAAATATATTTCTTTATTTATATAATAATAATATAATAATATCTACGTATTATTGCTGGCATAGAGATGAGTATTTTTTTTTAAGCACCAACCAACGAATAATTTAAATTAGTTACCGAATAGGATTTGCGCCACGTGGCGTGGTTACGTCATTGGTCAAAGTACAATGGTTGGCAAAAGTCATGTTCTGTCTAAAAACTACATTTTTTTTATGTTTTGATATTCACACATAGTTATTTGTATACGAACATATAATAACTTAATCGTATTCTAAATTGAACGTATGCTGGATTCATACGAGAAAATAGACTTTAAATATCATTATTATGAATCAAAAGAGGTGCATAACAAACAACTTGACTGTAGTATTATGTATTTCTAATGAGTGAGGGGCCCTCAGTGAGGGAAGGGTGTATTTTTCATAGAGCATGGTTTTTAGAGCATATTGCCTTCTTTATCAACAAAAATTAGAACATTAATTATAGATTACAGATACTTAGAACATAAAATTCAAAAATAAAATAAAATAGTATATAAATATAATAAGTAATAAAATTAAAATACTAGAATTAAACAAATGTTTATTTGTTTGTTTGTTTGTTTTGAAATTCGCGAGGCAACACGAGGGCTATCTGCGCCAGCCGTCCCTAATTTAGCAGTGTAAGACTAGAGAGAACGCAACTAGTCATCACCACCCACCGCCAACTCTTGGGCTACTCTTTTACCAACGGATAGTGGAATTGACCGTAACATTATAACGCCCCCACGGCTGAAAGGGCGAGCATGTTTGGTGGGACGGGGATTCGAACCCGCAAGAATTAAACAAATAAATGTAACATGCTAGAAAGAATTTTATAACAAGAAAACAAAGCATATTAAAATAATAAAATTAACGTATTATAACATATCAAAATAAAAAATAAAACATCATACGTAAAACAGTAGAATAATAAATAAGATTTAACTCTAAAATCGAGATTTTATCGAAAAGAATTTAGTGGCTTGTTTGGCCATCACAATATCCGGAAAACAAACAAACAAAAAAAAAGAAACACTAAAATTGCATTTTAATGATAAATTAGCACTAGAAACTTCGAGCAATGGAAATTTTTGCATTTATCAATTCACCTTTTGCAGAGAAATGTTCATTAGAAAATTTGTGCTTCCCATCCGTTTGAACCAATATTTTTGTGAAAGTCCATTGCCTTTTACAAAGTAATTTACCTAAAAATACTTGTTTCCAGTGCTGGAGGGACGTCTGAAAGTCATGTTTACTTTAGCTCAGTTGCAAGTGCAAGGTTTTAAGGTGTGATGTTTACATGATATGCAACTCTTGTACATGCAATCACGATGAGAATCCTGTTGGAGTTAAAACGTTTGAATCCAACTCAAAGAGGGGGGAACTGCGAAGCCGAATATATAGTAAGAATAACATACTTTCTTCTTTCCATTGTAACTAATTTCATTGCCTTAAAACTTTCAGTGATTGTCAGACATAGACATGATTGATCAGACCACAACCAACAAAAATAGGAAATATTCTAATACTAGTAATAAATGACCTTATAACATCAAATCTGTTATATTTCTTTAACTGGGCACTCAACGTTTCATATTACAGCTTCTTCGGGGGCGTTCTACAAAATCATAAACCGAAAAAAAATGTGGTGTTTTAAGATCGTTTATTTATAGTATTAAAATGTCTTTTATACACCAATATGGACTACAGACATGAAATAAGAATTACTTGAAAATTTTAATTGTTTCTACTGAGTGCTCAGAGTGACCAATGTCATGGACAAGTTGAAAACACTCTTGAAGTGCAAATCAAGGACTAAATGAAATGGCCCAGAGTAAGATAACCTTGCTTTGGGAAACCTTTTCATCAACACTAAAAACAATCTTTTTGGAGCTTCATTACTTTTTTTAAGGAGGAGATTGAACTTAATCTTACACAAAGTTTTGTATGAGAACCTGGTCTAACGTACTTTGGAGTTAAACCATTAAAATATAGAATTTCAATAAAAATATAAACTAAATAAAGAGTTAAACTTACTTAATCTTGTATATCTAGTCCCTCATTTTAATATAGTTTAGAATGAAATAATTTTTATTTTTGTCCAAGACTGTTTTGTTACTAAAACAAGAGCTTTATTTCGACATAGAAAAATGAAATTTTTCATGTATAACTTTTACAGGAGTAAAAAAAAGCTTACTTTAACAGCTAATTTTAGAGCTGAACTTGGATTGTGTATAAAGTGCATATTGAAATGAAACATCAGACTTATAAGTCCCCTTTGAAAACACAACGTGGATTAATTGACCAGTTATTGTCTCTTGAAGATGTGTCATATATGATGTGTCCCATAAGTATAAACATCTTTAAGACATATTTTCTTATTGAATTTCATAATATTATATGTTTGACTTACAACTCACCTTCTGATAAAGATAACTGAAATATTTTTTCGCGAATGAATTCAACCTAAAATTTCCTTCAAAAATATCAATAATTGATTACATTATCCCAAATAAATAATTGTGTGAGTTTTACCAATACTGTAAGACTAACTGAACATGGTGCCGTAAATATACTTCCATCCACTTGTTTCAGGTCTAACAAGTCGATGTGCATCGTTTATATGGAACTGGTTCAAAGATGGTAAATTATTTCGCGATATAAATCAGTACATTTTCCTGCACTAATTTTACTACTAGTCTAAGAACGGTATGTAAATATGTGTCATAAATAACTGTAGTGTTCCGTTTTTTCAATATGTATTTCCTCTAAGCAAATAATGAAATAAGGAAAAGTGTTACTTATACCACTTTTAAAATAATGTAACAATATTTGTAACACACTTGAATACATAGTTGATGCTCCTAGACACATAGACAACTGAAGTGGAGAATGGTTACAATTTCCTGAACTGTTTTCGTTTAGCTGAAATACGTATTGCAAGCGTTACAATGTTATGCTTTTACTGTGTAAAAACGTGTAAAAGGACGATGTTGTGAAGGGCTTCTTTCGTATAGATTTTTTTTCTTCATTTAAACGAAGTTTTCTATACTAACAGGATTACAAAAGAAAAGATGAAAGTTAACACACAATGAACAAGTTGTTTTTAGGTCAAGAAAAGAAGAACTGGTTCTATATAGTTTAAAACAAAACAAGTTATTTTAATTTCGACAATTAATCTTCTGTGATTCGGACAGTTACGAAATCCCTTCACAAAGACGTAATGTCGAGCTCATTAAAGCGTTCACGTTTAAAGTGTCGTTAAACTGGACTTGTTAAACCCCACAATACACTAACTTTCTTATTAAATAAACTAGGCCTCTTCAAATAAGACGCAATGTTGAAGTCATTACAGTGTTCACGTTCAAAGTGTCGTCAAACTGGACTTGTTAAATTCCAAAATAAAGTAACTTTCTTAATAAATAAACTAGGCCTCTTCAAATAAGACGTAATGTTGAAGTCATTACAACGTTCACGTTAAAAGTGTCGTTAAACTGGACTTGTTAAACCCCAAAATACACTAGCTTTCATACTAAATAAACTAGGCCTCTTCAAATAAGACGTAATGTTAAACTCATTAAAGCGTTTACGTTTAAAGTGTCGTTAAATTGGACTTGTTAAATTCCAAAATAAAGTAACTTTCTTAATAAATAAACTAGGCCTCTTCAAATAAGACGTAATGTTAAACTCATTAAAGCGTTCACGTTTAAAGTGTCGTCAAACTGGATTTGTTAAACCCCCAAAATAAAGTAACTTTATTAATAAATAAACTAGGCCTCTTCAAATAAGACGTAATG